CAGCTTCTTGGGCCATTTTCACACAGTAGCAGCAGGCCCGATGTATTTCAAATGTCACGTGGCTATTGTGGTAATGAATAACCAGGCCGGCATGACCAGAAGTTTAGTGTAGCTTGGTTTAATTTGGGGCTCAAATATGCATGTCCACTGATAACACTGATGTACACCCAGCACAGTGTAGCTGAGCCATGCTAACTAACAACAGGCTTTGGGTCTGTTGCTGTACATGAATGCCTGCAGGCAGTAACGTCGGCTTGTTTGTGGCTTTACATTGTGTGATTTTAGAGCTGTGCTGCTGTTAGCATAACCACTGGCTTTGGTCTTGTTTTTTCCTCTTCTCCCACAGCTGACCCATTTATGACCCGTTTTTTCTCGTCATGCCTGATATTAGAAAAGTTTAATCATTGCTGGGAGACATACAAAGAGGATTAACATTCCTGGGTCTCCTACACTCAGACATTGCCCTTCTCCCTCCCGTTTCTCCTCTGTTTGGTCTCTCACCCCCCTCTCTTTCTACCTCACTTCTCTACATTTTTTTTCCCACTTTCATTCCTTTGGTTGTTCCTTCAGTCTTTTGCTCCTTTCATAATTCTGCTAATATTCCTGTTGGCAATCAAATATTTCACTGGCTGCAGTTCTTTCACCTCTCATCTTTTTTTCCCTACTGTAAATGTCTGTAAAAGTACTAGTGGACTCTTCCCCTTCCTTTGTTTGTTTGCATCTGTGCAGGATATGACCAAATTGTTTGTGTTTGTGCTGGACAGTTAAGCTGCAATTACAGCATTTCACTCTGGAGGCTTCTTTTGCTCTCAGCCTGAAGGCTGAAGACTGTGTGTGGTGTGTGGGCTCCCTGGTGCCATGTCCTCTATAATACATACAGTGTCTGCTGTCTGTGTATACTGTATCAGCAGGGCATCTGTATGCTGTCACCTACAGTACACAGTGATCTCTGTATGGACAGTAATAGTGGGGCTGTATTTCACTTAGTAATGAGTTTGAAGAGAGATTAGTGTGGTTAGAGTGTGCAGCTCTGTGTCTCCAATCAGCTCCACCCCCACAGAATACACACACATTGCAGAAGTTTGTTTTTTGATTTGAGATATGATCTGACAGATCCACTCCGACCAGCTCTTATCAGGTGTAATTGAGTAAGAAGATGACCACCATGGCTCTCACTCACTTTTTGGGTGTAGCACATACTCCCTTCTAACACACTCTCCAACTATTCAGTGTTGGAATGAGTGGATAAATACATAGCAAGATGGAGGAGTATTGAATGTTTCACATATTGTTATTACATAGTCCATAAGCTCCAGGTAGACATTTGACCCTTGAATGTAAAGAAGGATCAACTGTCAAATCTTATTTTACAGTATACCCCTGTGATATGAGTTTAATCCAATATGTATGTTGAGTGTGTTGATTGTAACGCTGATTTGATAAAAAAAAAAAAAACCCCACCAAATTGATAATGTATTTAAGCATTCCACGTGTATGTTTTCCATGTGAGGCCATGTGTGGGCTAAAACCAGATAGCTTTCTGCCGCAGCCGAAGAGCAGGATAGTATTTCCAGAGTTTGTTTGATGTATGATGCTATCTACTGGATGTATAGCACCACCTCAGTGCTGTCTCCGGATTGATGAGTAGTCTGCCTGAGGCTATACAGTAGAGACTCGGCTGGCCTTTGAAGCTCTTTGTTGATGAAGTCAGCCATCATCAGTCACAGCCTTGTTTCAGCTGTCCCACATCATGCCTCCAGAGTTTAAGTATTTTCTGGCTGATAGTTGTAGATCCAACTAATTTGGGTCCCCAAATAAGTGTTTTTATAAGCTGCACTATTAAAACCAAGTGCTGTACAGGTAGCCAAAATACAAAGTAGAACACATACAGCTTTATTACTGTGTTGGACCTCTCCTGAGCCATCAGAACAGTTTGAACTCTGGCATCTCATTCTATGAGTGTCTGCAACTCTGCTGGAAGGATATGACAGTGTTCTTCCATGAGAGATTACATTATTGGGTTTTTAATTGCTGTTGGTAGTTGGTGGAAAGCACCGCTTCAGACGCCAATCCAACATGTCCCATTTAATAAGAGTTAAGATGTGACTGACATGGCCATGGCATGTGGTTCGCATCATTTCTATGCTCATCAAAATGTTTTAGTGACCACCAGGGCCCAATGCATACGGCCAATGTCATCCTGCAGGCAACCACTCCCGCTATACTCATGGGACAAATAGGCTCACCCAGATCGTGTTTGCATTTCTAGATATTTCCCATGACCTATAGCAACTCACTGGATGTAAAACATGTTAGAAAAATGCACCCTACATCTAAACAGAGCTGCCGAAAATGCCTTTAAAGCCCCTGAATAATCTGTTTTCAATCTTGAGTATTTTGCTAAAACATGAAATATTCATAACATAACTAACCACAAGATTTGGTAAAAACTTGGACTTAAGAATTTTGAAAATAAGCTTTCAGCATTATTATTTTTGCAGCGACACTCATTGTCAGTATATTGGCCAAGCAAGTGTTAAATGGTGAAATAGCTGTGTCATTAGCGTTATCTGTGGTCCACCCCACCACAATCTGACCCCTCTCTCTGCCTCAGCGTTGCAGCAGCTTTCATCAGTCATAGAGCTGTTCTTCTCAGCCTATCATCAGCTGTCATTAGTGCTCTTAGAGGCCCCTGCTCTTACTCTCACACACACACACACACACACACACACACACACACACACACACACACACACACACACACACACACACACAGGTGACACAGCGCAGGCTATTCTTCAAGGTTAGGCCTAAATGCTTCACCACATGGCTGTCTTTGATGATATTTCAGCCACAAAGAATGAGAGGTATTTCATCCTACTACATCCATTTATTTTTATTTTTTTAAAGTTCATTGTAATCTGATGATTTGTCACGCCCGTCTTATGTTTGTCTTATGTTTTTGACCTTGTTGAGGAGAAAGAACCTTTACCCAGAAACCTCTGCACACACCCTAATTGATTGCTATTTGTCATTGACCATGACCGGTCCTAACACACACAAACACACAGACACATATACATGCACATATGCCCCTTTCTGATACGATATCTTCACCAAAGGCATTGCTTGTTGACAGGTGGCCAATAAAGCCATCATTTTCTGGAGAGACGGGATGAATTATTGCAACCATTCTGTCTCTGTCTCACTGAATACACACATCCGTCTCCCCTGTAGTTACTTTGACAAAGACACGACCCAGTTTTTACCCTTAAGGCCTGCAACAGGCCTTTGTCATTACTGGCTTTTTCATGCTACGTGCATATCCCTTCCACCCTGTTAGCAGACACTGCAAGCAGACTTTTCCTTTTCAAATACTCTTATGTAAGTATTTTTAATCCTTGGAAAAAAAAGTTAGTTGGGAGCTCTCTTTAAACATTTGGCTTGGCTAATAAAACACGAGTGGTTACATTTGCTGCCCACTGATTAAATACATCAGACATTAACATGCCACATTATAGGGGGGTTGCTTTGTGGAAGTGGGCTGCTGCTGTTCCTCCTTTTTCAAGCTGTCCTATAGTTTACATTTCAGATAGCAAAGCAGTTAGAAAATTGATAAGGATGAGTATATTTTATTTGTGTTTAAGAATCTCCCTGCTTGCTGCTACAAACTGATTAAGTCAGGTCCGGCCTCCTCTGGGGCGCCAGTTCTGGCTGTTCTGACTGACTCTCAGAGCCCCTGTTGTTGATGTGAAAATGTGTTGGTGTTTGCTTTGGCGTGGGGAAAACCTGTAAAAGTCTATTCTTAGCCTTTGAAAAATTAAATCGGGCAGCCACCAAGCTGCTGGCTGTGAACTGAGTGACTGTATCATGTTAGCGCCTGGTACACATAGATAAAACATACACACACATCAATGACAAACCTGTGTGTTCCAAGTGTGACCGTGAGGTTAATTACAGATTTGTACAAGTGCATGTATGTGTTCCAGGTATGTACATGTCTGTGTGCAAACTCCTGTCTATATCTGTGTATGTGTGGATGAGCCAGTGCAGCACAGTTTGAGCGTTGTTTGATGAGTTTGGCATAGGAAGCCGTTGATTTGTTGACTTGTCCCTCTACAGCAACAGAGCTGCCAGCAGTTGGTCTACAGCCAGTGAAATGGCAGAGAGCGAGGAGAAGGTTAGGGACATCGATGCTATACTCGATCAAAGAGCTGTCCTGGCTCCAAACTGATAATATTTTCCTGCAAATTGTGACCTGAAGAAACACTCACACTGGCTCCCATCAGCAATACTGTCAGCTTACATCATTTATTGTCGGACAGCAAAAAAATGTTTTTGTGGAGTTTTGAGGAGCATATCTTAAGATGGCTCCTTTTGTGTGATCAAACAGTCATCAGTTAATTTTCAGTCACTTAACCAATTGTTTTCCAATTGCACCAGGCTCATGTACTGTGGATTCATTCAAAGGATTGATTGTCATCATTCACTCTCCCCTTTCAGATATTTAAGACACATTCCAAATGTATGTGTTTACATGTAGAGAAAGATTCAAATACTATACCATTTAGTACACTGTGTAATCCTTTTCAACCCACAGTGCTGCACCTCAGTGCCAGAGCTTTTCCATATTTTCAGTATTTTCTGATCAAGTTCCAACCCAAAGTGGTGGTAGTAGTAGTAGTAGTAGTAGTAGTAGTATAGCCCAAAGTAGGTATTTTAAAGGAATGGAAAGGAAAGGAAAGGAAAGGTTTGTGAGAAAAAGATTTATCTCACTGAACTGTAAAATGTTATTCACAAGAAACTTACAGCTAGCATACAGAGGACAAAAGCACATGAAAGAAACTTCTCATAGCAGTGAAATTTCTAAAAGTCAGGTCACAGCATCTGAATATTTGGGCGGTGAGTATTAGCGTGGAACAAAAACTGACGCCATGCCTTCCAGGCAAAGGGTTGGTCCCCTGGGTAGTGCCAATGACACATCCAGCAAGGACAGCTCATCCAAGGCGCAGGCTGGTGAGTAAACAGAGACTTACTGGTCAGTGCCCGGTGGTCAGACTGATGAATGAAAGGTGGATGGATGGGATGTCTGTTAGGAGGGGCGCGCTTCCCAGAAAAGGGTCTAAGGGACAATACAGGACAAGAAGGCATGAGGTGGCGGGGTGTTAGTGTGGGTTCTGCAGTCGAAACAGATCCGCACTGTCCTCTTTTACTTGCAGCGCACATTCATAGCCCAGGAATCTCCCTTTTGTTTCTGCCAGCCAGTATGTACCAAAGCTACTTAAAAATGGAGCCATTCAGCTGTAGCTACAGATACCCGCTCTGCAACTGCTGAGCTAGCTGCTCGTGTCTCGCATGGTAAGGTATTGCTGTGTGTGTCTGCAAATGTGTGTATGTTTGTGTGTGCTGTCGGACCAGTGATGGCTCTTTTCTTTATAAGCTAGTGTTGACAGGCAGAGACAGAGGTTGTGTAGAGTGTGATGAAGGAGCCAGGGGAGCTCTCTCAGATAGCTGAAGGTCAAAACTACCAAGGGTTTCATCATCACTCACTCACATCGACGGCACTGACCAGAAGATCACTATGTTCTTCCTCACAGTATTGCCATGTAACGTATACTGGAAGACACAATGGCCTATACTTTTTATCATTCAAAATGTTTTATTGAAATTTACAATATAGACAAATGTGAAGATTATCTAACAAACAAAATAACATGACAAAACAAACATAAAAGAACATCCATTGGCTTACACTTGAGTTTATGCATGCTACCAAGAAAAACCTTCCTCCTTGCTTCTGCTTCAGACTCCCAGTGGCTGAAAGGCTTTAACTGTGAAGCAGCTGCAGTATCCAGACAACATACATAAGTGTGTGAGTGTGAGCTGTAGATTGGAATGCTAATTTATTGCACTTAATCTGGATTTGTACATATTTCATGATTTTTGTGTCAAAGGATCAGTGTAAAACATTGCACAAGAAGAGCTCTTTACAGTTCTAACAAAGCGTTGTAAAGGGGGGAGCAGAAGCTATATAGTCTGTTATATGGCCTTTAAAAAAAGATCCCTTGATCATGTTGATCCCATGATCCCTTGGGCTCATAACACCCGTTAAGCCTTTTGTTGAACTGCAAAGATACATGGTGGTCCATCTGAAAGCAAGGCTGTTTCCCTTTCTTACTGAAAAATCAACATATAAATGTACAGTGATAACATAACATAAATTTGTACGTGGCTCCGACATTTGCAACTTCTGGCACTCTCACTAACACCCCGCTTGGATTTCACTTAGTGGAAAGTTTCCCACTCTTTATGTAGGATGTTTTTTGCTGCCCTTTTGAGACTCTTTTTTAGCTCTCTGTCATATTTACTGTCTCTCTACATGATGAATAAACCTGCTCCTGTTCTGAAAGAACATCTGCAGTCTTAGCAAATGTAATGCAGATAATAGGGCTAATGATGTTTGCATCCATCCCAATGTACAATGTGTGGTGCAGTGTAATTAAAAAGCAGTGTAATGTCCCACTATGCGGTTTGGATATCTGCACCCGCTCCGTCTACGTGATCTCACTGAGTCTGCCTGAACAAATACTTCATCCCTCTGAGGAGGATGGGTGGGGTGCAGACACTGTGAGTGAGAGGGAGAGAATATCTGTACCTTGCAGTATAATGAAAATATCTATTGAAGGAGACAAAAAAGAGACACGGACATCAAGAAATACACATATATATACATTACCCAGCCTCCAGGGCCTCACCTTTTCATCGTATGTAAGCTACAAAGAAGCTACATTTAGCTTCATCCTGACCCACCTCAAGGCACAACAGTGTGGTATGATAACAGAAAACCCAGAAACATGGTGTTAGTTAAAGCACTGCATGGTGATTTAAGTGTGATTGCTATATGTTGAAGCTTTTGTTCATCTGGATATTCAGTCCAAACTAACTCTCTCCTGTCACCATGTCCTGTCTTAAATGTTTTTGCATATCATTTAGTTATTTAAGCAATCCACTGAGCAATGACTTCATCATTATATGATTGATATAAGTGCTTTCAGCTGTACTTGCCTTTACTGTATCTTCACATGAAACGTGGACATGCTGAGGGTCTGTTCCACCATATTAGTTTCATCTGGTGTGGTTTTACCACATGTGAGTGGAGTTTTCAGTTGTTGACACAAGAACCTGATTTTCACACCATTTCTCATTGAATTATATATAAATAAATGGTTTTTGGAGGCGACGGTGGAACTCAGATGTGATATAAAGTCTGCTCGTGAGAATGTGTGTCATTACTGAAAAATTCTTGGGCAGAATACATCACAAACCCAGAACTCAGCCTTCTCCTTGTTTGTTTATTTTATTGTCTTTTATGTCCCATTTTGGTTATATTTATGTCCAAAAAATATCTCCTAGCAGCGATGCTGCATCTTTCACAATCATAGTTGCGTGACTTTTGCATGTTTGAAACACAAGCTCCAGCTCTCACATTGGTTCAGTGTGGACACATGGACTGATGTGTGGTGAATATGTGTCCCCTCTGTCTCTCTTAAAGGTCTCCATGAAGCTCTGCTCTGTGTCTCTCATCACTTTAGACTCTGATCTCTGAAACAGATATCCAGATAGACACAGTGATGAAAAGATAAACAGATTACAGTTAAGAATTAAAATAAGACAAAATAAGAGTGACAGAGAGAGAGAGAGAGATGAATAAAGGTCTGGACAGAGGCAGCCATAGAGTAAAATGAGGTTGGATAGACCATTGAACTGACTGACCTTGTGCTTGTCTTGGCCAGAGATCAGTAAGCAGAACGTATGAGAAACATTCTATCTATGGCCGATAGTGAGCAGGGTTCATTCCCTTCGTTCAGTACATGTTCAGAAGGATCACAAGTTTCCAAAATCATGTAAGCTGAGCGGACAACAAAAAAAAAGCAGCGTAAATCATTTACATCTGGCTCACCCCTGCTAGACCACAGAGCTCTGTGGTGGAATACAGAGCTATCTTTTCTTCGTGCCCTATGCTACTTGGATGTGTTTACTCTCTGTCCTTCTGTCTATTCCTACAAAGAAATATGGTTGCAAATAATAATTGTCATTATCGATTAATCTGTTCATTATGTTTTTAAGAATTTGATTCTAAAAATGTCAAAAAATGACAGCATGACGGTCACAATTTTCCAGGACCAAAGGTGAATTCTTCAAACTGTATCTTTTGTCCTACAGCTCTGAAGAGATCAAACTCAGAATGATACAGAGAAAAACAATGAATTCTCACATATGAGAAGAGACTTTGGAGCATTTTTGCTCAAGTAATAATGATTTAGCAAAATGGTTGATTTGTTTAATGTGATATGGTATTTTGCGTGTTTTGTTAATTATGTTTCACTGTATTAGAGCTGAAAAGATTAGCAGATTAATCAACAACAGATTTATTGGCAACTGTTTCATCATCAATTAATCCTCTCAGTCCTTTTTAAGCTAAATGTTTGCAGTTTCAATTTCTCACACTTTGTTCTGTTTTTTAAGTTGATTCACTTTGGGTTTTGGACTGTTAGTCACACAAAACAAGCAATTCAGAGATGTCACTTTAGGGCTCTGGGAAACGATCTGCATTTTCATACATGTCATAGACTAATCAATTTCAATCAATCAGGAAAACAGTGTAGTCGATAATGAAGATACAGTAACTGCACTGCACTATATATCACCTGAAAGAGCAAATTTGTGTCAAGCAGATCTGACAGGAGCACAGCATGACATCAGTATTCGCTACCAAGATGCTCTTACTTTCACTTAAACCACCTGTTTTGAATTGTATGTCTTAGATTTCCCTGTGGTCGGACAGATGATGTTTTGACATCCCAGGGGTACTCACCGGACCAAGACCACACAACCCTCACATCCCACACTATAGAACAACACAACTCTTCTGATGAAACATTTTCCATTGAAACATGCTTTCTCCTCTTGCCCAAGCACTCCGCTATGCCAAACATGTGCTGCTCTTTTGAAATGTTGGATCATTAATGTCCATAAACACTTCAAACGCTGAAGAGCGATCGCTCTGAAGCTGGCTTGGTGGAGCCGCATTTGGTGGGGTTATTGTTTTAGGCAACGGGGGAAAGTACAGACCGTTTTTTTGGGCGAGTAATCTGCTCATGGAAAGGAATCAGATAATTAAGCCTGTGCAGTCTGTATTCACACCAAGGACAAATACCAGTGGGGAACATTTAAGGACTTCGGTTATAGCAGATTTGTATAAATATTTATTGCAGTAAGCTTTATTGAAAATTTTGACTTTCTACTATAGTTAAATTCAGAGCGTCATTTGCAGACCTCCTACGTCTTCACTATAGATATGTTACTTACACCAAATCATTGAATTCTCATTCATTTCCCTTGTTTTGACAACCTGAAAGACAGAAGTAATCCCATCATTTCAGCCTCTGTGCCAACACAAGAATAATATTTTTCAAGTGGTTGCTAATTGAATGCTGTAGATGTATCCAGCTGTGAGGAGTATCTTCAGTCTTGTAGTTGCAGGACAAATGTGTGTTTTGTTATCTCAGTGGCATATGTGATGCTATTCTGGGATTTATTATAAGCAAGTCCTGGTCGAGGAGATGCAATGAGGTGCAGAAAGGGGTCAGTGATACTGAAACAATGAACGAAACTATTTTCCGAGAATGAGTAAAGTACGAGCAATGGATTGTCATCAAGGCAAAGAATAGTTTAGAAAAAGATGAGAAGAGCGAGAGGTCTGTTGGCCTGAGGCTAAAGACGTATAGGGGATTGAAAGGCAAAAACAGGAAAAGTAGAGCTTTAAGACTGCTTCAATAATGCCTAACAAAGCTAGATAAGATGAAACCACTTGTGATGTTAAAATGCTATATAGTACTTAAACGATAAGTGGATCAATTGATCAGGTGCTCAACAGAGGAACAATTTAAGGTCCAGTGTGTAACATTTAGGATCTGTTGGCAGAAATAAAATATTCATAGGCATGTTTTCATTGGTGTATAATCACCTGAATATAAGAATTGTTGTGTTTTTGTCTCAGAATGAGCTGTTTTTATCTACAGAGAGAGCAGGTCCTCTTCCTTGGAGGCCGTCATGTTTAACTGCCATGTTTCTACAGTAGCCCAGAATGGACAAACCAATCACTGGCTCTAGGTAAGGCATTTAACGGTTTTCTCAATTTTCACAGCCACCATAGTTTCTCATACACCTTTAGAAGGCTGAGCTGTGTACAAGTGGTTGCAATCTTCAACTTCTTTCACTTCTTTAACCACCTTCAACCACTAAATGCTACTGAATCCTACACACTGGTCATTTAAGAATAACAACTAGAAACCTTGTAGCTGTGTCGGCGTGCTGATATATCACATATGTTCTCAAAATTCAGAAGCAAGTAGTTTTTCAGCCATCTTTCAGTTCAAGCAGGGGTCAACAGCAATTGGCTGTGCTGCCTGAAATTTGAACTTTGGTGATAATGTGAACACACCCAGATTCTTACTTACTTCTCTAAATGTGACTACTCTAGACAGAAAAAGAGAGCCTTTTATCACAAGATTACTTATTAGTTAATTGCAAAGTTCCTTCAAATCAGATACAAAAGATTATTTCTTGCTTTTTTCATTTATTTTGATTTTAAAAATTGACTTCTCTTTCAGCTTCCTTCCTCTGAGCTATACCCTCATCAGTTTTTGCCAGCACACATTTCAGTTTTGGTAAGTCTTGGACTACAACGCACCACACAAGCCTACCAACAGTAAGAATAGATCCAACAAACATGTTTGCCAGTTCATCTAGAGTTCTTAAGGAGACCATAGTCTTTTGTTTTCTGCTTTTGTTCACTGCAGGTAAATCTACATTCACCATTGGTCCTGATTGCATCAAATATATCCTAACCAACAGATTCACCTCAATAAAAATCTGAGTGAAAATCTTTAAAGACCCTAAACAGTGGCTCTGTATGTCTTTTAAGAACCAATTGTGTGGTTTGTAAGAACCCTTGATGGCAAAGCTGAACAATGGCAGGGACTATTTCCACCTAACAATAGCCGAATGCCACCCAAACACACACTCCCTGAGCCACACAGATTATCCTGGTCTGTGTGAAAAGAGACTGACAAGTAGGAGATTGGAGATTATGTCAATTAGTGGCTACTGTCCCACCTGACGAGACCGCCTTGTCTCTCAGGGTCTGATGGGGTCGGAGGTCACGACCTGACTGCCAAAACATGGAGGCTGCTAACCCCCAACCACAGAGGTGGGCTTTAACTCTGTGCACAGTTTTATCAGCCTGCATGCCACACACACACAAATTCTAACACACTAACACACTTTCACCTCCTTCTGACCTTCCCCTCATCCCTGCCTGACCTTGACCTCTGCTGTTGTGTGTGTGTGACAGAAAGAGAAAGCGGGAGGTCAACAGGTCTCCAGGGGAACAGATTTATTTATTGGCTGATGCTTGTCTTTCCAAACGGGTGTAAATCTCCATGCCAGCCAAGTGTTTGTTCATGCACGTGGGTGTGTGAAGAGTATGAACTTTTGTTTCCGCTTATATGTTTGGGCCAATATTTGTTTTGTCTGTGCTTTTGCATCCTGGCACGCGTCTGTGTAAATACTTGTGGATGCGTTTTTGGCTGCACCTATGAGTATGTGTATATCCTCTTTGATGTCTCTGTGTGCAAGGGTGTGTGTGTGTGTGTGTGTGTGTGTGTGTGTGTGTGTGTGTGTGTGTGTGTGTGTGTGTGTGTGTGTGTGTGTGTGCTTTCCATCCAGCTGTAAATCTCCAGACTGACATGTTGGTTCAGTAGGGAAACAGCAGGTTTGGGACACACTGATGGCCTTCACAGATGGCTTCAGGACCCTGCCCATGGGAGGCCTTCTACTCCACCTATTAATTTATTCATTTTCCACTGCAGAGGAGACACTGAGGCCAGTGTGATTGTTTCCGAGAGCTTAAATCCCTTCAGAGCAGCTTGGGTGTTTTCTTATGCAGTCCCTTCTCCCCCCTCGTTCTTTCCCTTAGCCTCTTCTGTCCCCCTTGCTGTCTTTTCCCCAGGTTAGTGTTGGTGTGTGTGTGTGTGTGTGTGTGTGTGTGTGTGTGTGTGTGTGTGTGTGTGTGTGTGTGTGTGTGTGTGTGTGTGTGTGTGTGTGTGTGTGTGTCTCCAACCTTCTCACCCCAGTGCAACAGGCCAGCCTGACAGGCTTTGGATGTCATTGTCACAGAATCGTTGTGTGACTGAGTCAGTGTGGGACACAGATGAGGAAAGGCTACACTTTGACTGTCACTTATAACTCCCTTCACACTTTCGCCACTTCATGCGTCTTTGCCGGGTGGGAGAGCTGTCTAATCCCATAAAAGTGTAGATGCAGCCAAGAGGCATTAGAGTGGGAATGTAACTTGATTGCTCTAACCCTTGCTCATACTCCAACCTTTGCCAGTCATCCACATGTTTGTTTAGAATGATGGAATGTATTCTTATTTAATTTAATTTATACCAAACAGCTTCATGTGCGTTACCACCACCCTCCTGGAGTTGAGCCTACCCAGATTTGTATCTACAACAAGAAAAGCAAGACAGACACAATCAGATTAGTGATCTGGAGTGATAATAAAGGTGCATATCTGTGGCTAAATGTAAACAAGTGTATTAAATTGCACTTTGATTTTATCTTGATATGAGACAAGTTTAAATGTGAACACACGCTCATGAACACCTTGCTGTAATGACTACACTAGTTGTGAAATATACAGTCATTTTCCAATATGCCATTTGGTTTGAAGACTGTCACATAATTAATTCATAGACTGAATGCTTTCCATTTGGCTCACGTCTCGTCCTCTCATCTCAGCGGGGATACAGTGGAGAGATGCGAGGAAGATGGAGGAATTGTTGAGGTATTTGTTCACTCCAGCATCACTTTGAGGAGACAGAAACTGTCAAATGTGCAGAAGTCAACTATCAACTTTGCAGAAATAAGTAATAGTTTTAAATAAACACTTGGGGGTGATGACTACTGCTCCAATACTAAAATGATAGCTACATTGAGGTGTCAGGGTGTCACAGAATGTAACTAGTACAATAACACAAAAAGAGCTGAAGGGACATAAAAACTTTTTTGGCATTAGATACGCCTGTACACCTGTAGAGCGAGGACGGGAGCAATCATAATTAGCAGAAATCACTCACTCACTCGGACATTCCCCAGTCTGAAATAATTTAAGATGTAAAATGGCACATTAGTGTGAATGTGAGGGTGTCACAGAGAACAGAAAATTATCCCTCTGGCTCTGAAGAGCAGTGATTTCATATTCCACATGCATTGTAAAATGGTTCTGACTCCACGTTGCAGTGGTTTAGAAATGACATTACTGAAACAATCCTGCTTTATCATTCATATTCATCATGACTGAGAAAATTACTCTGGCTTTTTAGCTCGAGCAAGTATGCATGTAAATGAGAACAATGTTGTGGAAAGCAGCCTTTCTCGCTGTATGTGTGTGTGTGTGTGTGGGTGTGTGTGGGTGTGTGGGTGTGTGTGTGTGTGTGTGGTTGTGTGTGGTTGTGTGTGTGTGCCACATGTAGAACGTTTCTCTGACTTTATTATAGGGAGAAAATGATTCCCTGGCTTGCTCTAGGCCCTTTAAAGGGAGTCTACACGACACACTTATGCACATCAACAAACACAGACACAGACACACACACACACACACACACACACACACACACACACACACACACACACAACGAAACACAACATCTTTAATGCATTTTACTGAGCAAGGCAGGCCAAGGCTCAGAGCCAGTACAGTCCTCCTGTCCGTGTGCTGCTGTTTCCACCCTCTCTCACTCTCTTCTTCTAAATGAATGTACAACTCTCTCTGTCCTCCCTTCCTGCAGACAGGTGGTCTAGTGGTTCAGACCAGAAGGATGTCTGGCTTACAGTCTAATGCTGTTTTAATGGTACCTTATGTGGTGGGTAGAGAGAGGCATGCTGCAACTAATAGAAATTCTTCTGACTCTCCAGTATGTTATATAATGGTCTCTTTCTGTTGAGGTAGACTAGTCAAATCTGATTAACGTGTGTATGAGCATGTGTGTGTGTTTGTGTGCTCACTGGTGTGCAAGTGCAGTCATGTGTGCATTAATGTTTTAGTTAAAGAAGATAAAAAATAGGCCTGATAAAGTAACGTTATCTAGGAAGTAGTAAAATTATCTTTTTGAAGCTCCCTTTTTTCTATAAATGAACAAGTAACAATTTCAGCCTTTTTACTTGTTTAAAGAAAAATGTAATTTGCTGCCAAAGCAACACCTTGTCCAAAGACTATGAAGTTCAAAACATCAGCAGTAAATGCCTGCTTTTTTTTTTGTCAGTTGCCCAGAATCAAAGAGCGAGGGCTTCCTTCCAGACTCACAGTCTTTCTGTAATTCTTTCTCCACCCATTCCGAAAACTAGTTACAAAATCTAATATTGAATACTGGATCACTGGATATTTGTTCTTTCATTGTTCATAAGTCAAATAAAACATTAATTGATAAAGAAAGAAATAACTGGAAGCATATTACAATATAATAATAGAGTTTACACACATTCAAGTTTGATGAGCTAATTTTAAATGAACTTCATCACATGGAGATGGAAAACATTCTCTAATACTGAAAAAAGGGGTTGGAAGTCGATCACGCCCATCTCTCTGGGTTTAATTAAAATAAATTATGGGAAACATGGAAAATCACTAACCTAAGTTGAACAAGTAGGTGGGTAAGGGGATGTATGTTAAATGCTGCAGTAGGCAACGATTGAGCATACACAATGCAAAACCTTCTGCATCTCATTTTCTTTGCTCGTATTATTCGAGTTAAGCCCTTCCCAATGCGGCAGCAGAGGGAGCCGGTTGTCCTGTGAAAACTCATCCCTCGTAGGGCTCACTCCACGGTGAGAGAATCGCCAAGCCCCAGGGCCCCTCTTGCCACAACTCGCCATTTAAGAAATGCCCCTCCAGCCGTTTGTAACCCCAGGGTAGTGTGCCCCAGACTTCAGAGGTAGCTGTGATGATGCCATCTAACAGACAAGAAGCTATTACACCCCCCCCAAAAAAAAAGATTCCCCATTGTTTGTCTTCATGTCTCTTTGTCACTCATCGATACGAGCACCATGGCATCAAACTTTTGTACTGTACGGCATTGTAGGCAAAGGAGATGCTCCTCCTGAAGCTACACGCTGAAGATATTGTGCTTGACAGAGTGGGAGCATGTGCAGAGGAGGGTGGCACTGCAGAGTGCACACGAGCAGTGATTGACGCTGTGTTAGAGACTTCCCATGTTTGTCATTGGTTGTATTCATTGCCATTAGGAGCAAAAAAAAAAATATTTGAGTTTTTCCACAGATTATCTGTCACATGTTCTACTGTCAGGATACAGAGACAGTTTCAGCAAATATGCCGAAAAAGTTAATTCTACAAAAGTTACCGAACCTTTAGGATAAATATTTTCTATGTGAGTTACCATTAAGATTGACAGCCAGAAAGACAGCCCATATTCAACTGTGAAAAAGGTGCTGCTTATCAGCGCACTGCAATAAAAATGTGGCCATTATTGTACATTGTGTGTGTGTGTGTGTGTGTGTGTGTGTGTGTGTGTGTGTGTGTGTGTGTGTGTGTGTGTTGTATGTGTGTGTGTGCGTGCCCTTTCTGCACTACCTTTCTGTAACCAATCAGTGTTATAGTGCATGTGTGTTTGATGGAACTGTTTTTTTTTTTTTTTTTTTTTTTTATCGAGGTCTCATTGGAGGGAAGTGAGACAATGGAAGTCTGTACTCATATTTTCCCACCATGTGTGTCTTTTGAGTGTATGTGTGTGTTTCTTTGTGTGTCGCTGGTCCCTCATCAGGCCCTTATTAACTACGTACACTAAGTGACCTTTGAGGAGGTGCTGATGGTTG